CTCCTCATGCATATTCCCATGTCCCCAATGTCCCCATGTCTGAGTCCCTGTGTCCCCCCATGTCCTCATGTGTCCCCCCCATGTCCATCTGCCCACGTCCCTGTGTCCCCTCATGTCCCCATGCCCATCCCCCTGTGTCCATCTGTGTCCCCCCATGTCCGTCTGTCCCCCATGTCCCCCTCCCACACACACACAGGAGTCCCTGTGTCTTGTCCCCCCATCTGTATTCAGCCCCAGGGTGGCCGTGTCCCCGTGGGGATGGTGCCGGTGGCCAGGAGGATGATGAGGATGAGGACGATGGCGCCCACGAGGCCGAGGATGACGAGCAGCTTCACGTTCTTCCACCAGTAGCGCCGGGCCATCTTCTGGGATGTGGTGCGGAAGTGCTCTGACTGCGGGGACATGGGGACACCCCTGACGGCCTGGGGACAACTCTGACACCCTGGGGACACCTCTGACACCCTGAGGACACCCCACTGCCACCCCAGGGACAGCCCTGACACCCCCAGTGCCACCCTGGGGACACCCGCTGAGACACTGGGGACAGCCCTCACACCCTGAAGACAACCCACTGCCCCTTTGGGGACACCTCTGCCACCCCAGGGACACCTGTGACACCCTGGGGACACAGCTGACACCCTAGGGACCACCCAGTAGCACTCTGAGGACACTCAGCTGCCACTCCAGGGACAACACTGCCAACCCAGGGACACCCGGCTACTCTGGAGACCCCAACTGTCACACAAGGGATAGCTCTGACCCCCTGGGGACACCCCACTGCCACCCTGGGGACAACCCTGACTCCTTGGGGACACCCCATGGACACCAACTGCAGGCCTGGGGTCCCCCGCTGCCACCTCGGGGACACCTCCTGCCACCCAAGTGTCCCATGCCAACCCACTGGGCACCCTGCAGCCCCCTTGGGGACCTCGTGTGACCCCCTGGGGTCCCAGCGCCTACCCCAGGGACCCTGTGCCCACCCAGGAGTCCTGTGCCACCTCGGGGGTTTTGTGATCACCTCAGAGACCCTGTGCCCACCCTGATGACCCCATGCCCACCCTGGGGTCCCTGTGCCCACCCTGATGACCCTGTTGCCCCACTGGTGACCCCATGCCTCCCCATGCCTACCCTAATGACCCCATGCCCACTCCAAGGACCCTGTGCCCACCCCAACGATCCCGTGCCCACCCTGGGGCCCCAGCGCCCACCCCAGTGCCCCTGTGCCCCCCTCACAGTGGCCTCCAGGTCCTGGCTCTTGCTGTGCAGCTGCTCCAGGTTCTCCCCCCGTGCCAGGATCCGCTCCACGTTCTGGGTCATGATGGTGGTGACCCCCTGCACCTCCCTCTGCAGCGCCCGCACGCGCCCGTCCCCCGTCGTGGCATCTGCCGGGTCCCCCGCCGGGACCCCCGCCGGGACCCCCGCCTGCAGCACGGGGCAGGGCTTAGGGGGCACACGTACCCTGGGCACCCCCAGCCTCTCCATGGGCACCCCAGTCACCCCCCAGCTCCCTGTACGTACCCTGGGCACTCCCCAAGCACCCTGTACCCTCCCTCCAGGAACCCCAAAAGTACCCACCAGGCCCCGTAGGTGCCCTGAGCACTCCACAAGTGCCCCACTTTCAACCCAAGCACCCCCAGGCACTTTCCTAGGCACCCTATGGGTTCCCCGGGCACCCCCCAGCACCCTCTAGGCACCCCAGATGCCCACACACACCCCAGAAGCCCCAGAGGGACCCCTAAGCATCCTATGGGCACCCCAAAGCACCCTGGGCACTTCCTCAAGCACCTCACGGGCACCCCAGACCCCCATACACACCTCGGAGCCCCCAGAGAGAACCCCCAAGCACGCTGTGGCACCCCGGGCACCCCTCACACCGCGTAGGTATCTCCCTGGCACCCCATGTACACTCCATATGCCCCCAGTATCCACCCTGATCACCCCACAGGTATTCCCCAAGTACCCCACGGGCACTCTGGGCAGCCCGTGTGTACCCCAGACCCCCGCACGCACCCCGGATACCCCAGAGAGACCCCCCAGAGGGACCCCCAAGCACCCTATGGGCACCCCGAGCACCCCACCCCCCTCCCCAGACACCCCCCAAACACCCCTAAACACCCCGGGGGCTGCCCCGCGGCCCCCCCCGACCGCCCCTGCATAGCCCGGCGCCCCCCGAGGGACCCCCCGCCGGTGTCCCCCGGCCCCACCATGGCCAGTCCGGTCCCGTCCGCTCCCACCGCCTGCCCGGGGCTTCCGGGAGCGGCGGCACCGCCGGGACGGGGCGGGCCGGGGGCGGGCCGGGGGCAGGGCGGGGTCGGGCCGGGGGGCTCCGGGCTGGGGGCGGGGCGGGGGTCGCGGCGGGGTCGGGGGTGCTGGGGTT